GGCTAAGAACATGCTTATCTCCCTGAGCCTGGCCTTCATAAGTCCATTCCATCACAATATATGGGTTTGCATGTTCAGATACAATGCCATAACAAAACAACCATATTATGCCATAATGCAACAGCTAGTTCTCACAATCTGCAAAGGTAGCAGGTGGGTTGCCATAACATACTGAACTACCAATTAACCCCTTTGCAGCCTAGTTCAGGGTGTTGCATGCAGCCAGCCCCAGAGTTTGTAATTCAGTCTCCTAAAGCCCATCTATTTCTGCAGCATACTGTAGGTTTGCAGCTCACACTTTCTCTACTGTGAAGTGGCACGAAGCCCTAGACCCAGAGCCGGTTCCAAAAGCTCTGAACTGCCCACCTTCTTGTGCCCAGTTCAGAATCATATTACAATCTGACCTACAAACCTTGGCACTGAAGCCCTCTGTCACTTTAGAAGCACTCCTTAAAGAGAAGGTGACCCAGACCATCAACCTGCCAATTATCCCTCTCTCTTAGATTAGGAGACTACAAGATATTAAGGTGGCTTTCCCCTTGCTCCTATTCCCCTTCTAAATCCTAATTCTCAGATTGGCCTTTTTGCTTATCAGCTCTGTTTTCCTTCTGGTTTCATAAATGTGGTCACTAGGGAACTGAGACTATAATTCTAGGTGCACAGTGCAAGGAAGCCCCATTGAATTCAGCGCAGCTCACTTCTGCATTGAACTGGCTAGCACCAGGGGATAGATGTTGCAGAAGGAGAGCAGTTTTACTCTATAATGTCAAAACTCCAAAGGTCTCTGATAGCACCTTTTCCAGCTAACAAATGTTAACAAAATATTAAAAGGTATAAGCTTCCACGAGCTACCAGACTCCTACTTTTCTAGCATCAGGTGACAGATTGAGATCTACAGTACATTTGCTGAAACTGAAAGCCTTTTGCAACATAGTTTATTCCTTTACCAGCTAATTGTAAATTCAACTTTACTTTACAGGCAATTGCCTCTAGTTAACTACTTTTACTTTCTGACCAGACTTCTTGGTCTATGCCACAGCAGGTGGCCTTGGATAAGTATGGAAAAGCTAAGGAGGGTTTAACTGGATTAGAACTTGGATGGGCAATCATCTAGAACTCTCAGCTAGGGAAGGAAAAAGAAAACCTCAGAAGTCAGTAGCAAATCATTTCCACATCGCTGCCAAGAAAACAAAACATGGACACATTTATGGACTCGCTAGCCAATGAATCTGAGTATGCTAACTCACATGTAACTAAACCATGGTTTACAGAATTAACCCAACTGCTTGGGTTCACAGAATATAGTGAACTGCACACTCAGCATATTGTCAAGGTTCAAAAAAGCTTTGGCTGTATTCATATGATATACAGTATTTTGCCAGGATTAATTGAAATGTAGTTTACTCAACTTAATTTTTCAGGTTTACACAATATCCTGTATATGAACTAACCACACAACCTGGGTTCCCACAGCACACAAGACTAAAATGTGGCTGCTGACCCTTTTGTGGTCCAGGGTATCATACCATAATTCATAAATTCATGACACATTTAAACAAGGGCATTGTATGAACTCCATCAACGTTTCAGCAAAATGCATTCCCCTGAAGTTATTTGGCCCAGGGGAGAATTGGCACCTGAAAACCTTGGCTCTGTTCAGACACTACACAATGACTGGGTATTTTAAATTTGACTTCAGGCCAGTCATTCTCCTAACCTAGCCTACCTCCCTGGGTTGTTTTATACTGGGTGTATTGCACCCAGGTGTACTTGCTTAAGATGAGCAGTCATATACATTTTCTCAATAAATGAATAAACCCCACCTGCCTCACAGAGTCATTGTGGGGAAAGACAGGAGAAGGAAGCATTATGTATGCTGCCTGGAGTGCCTGTACAAAAGGCAGGAGATATTGCCAATCAATCATGTTGTTGTCTGAACCTAACCAATGGGGTTACTTTATGATTTTATGTGCCTCATGATTTCAACCAACTAAGTCAGGGGTTCTCAAACTTTTTCAGGCCATGGAACCTGTTTGTTAAGACAAACATTTCTCATCTCTGATCAAGAGGCAAAGCTCTAGTGATACAAAAATTGGCTGCATTGGAATGAACTTTTTTGCCCCTAGTTTCTCATGGAACCCTGTCAAGTTCCCATGGAGAACAAATACAGTTTGAAAACTCCTGACCTAAGTAAACCAATCTGATTATGTTATGCAAAGGCAGTCACTGAGAGCTCACCTCCAGGGTCTAACAACACCTACAGGGGACAGGTGTTCACCATGAGTAAGCATGTCATATGAACATAGCCATAATAGTTAATGTTCTTGAAACAGATGCTGCAAGGGAATTCCTGACTGGATTTGAGTTTCTGTTGTAGCATGCACCTCTGAGGGAATGAGTCCTTTGCCAGGGCTCTCCAATGGAAGTGGCTCCAAGCTAGCTCTCTTTTGCACTGTGGAAACCATCCTCCTAAATTCATATTGACATCAAGGGCGGATCTGCCACTCCTTTGGATTAAGACCTACTCCACCCTTAACCCCAAGCCACACACCACAATTGCTTGTGTCTAAACACTGTTGAGTCCATGGGAAACTGGTCTCTGCTTCTACCCACATACATTTATTTCCCAGACTTTCTCCCTTACACATGCACAAGCACACATGCTAACAGTCCAACTTAGGCTGTGTTTGCACAACACACTTCCCCATGATTAAGTGAACCAATTTCTTAATTAGCCCAATTTTTCTAAGTCTACATAATACGCTAAACAGAAGAAAGACTGGCCAAGATTATCATATCATGGGAATGAAACCTTAGACACAAACATCCATCTGCCTTGAAGATGCTACTAAGTCCACAATTAATTATTCCACACTTTTTTTTTTCAGTTCAACAGCACAATTTAGGTAGGAAGTGTATTTGGCAGCTGTTAGTGTTAAACAATTGGTTAATACCAGTTTTGTGACAGGGAAAATCTGTACTGGAAATTAATTCCTTTGCCATCAAAGGAACAATCCAAACTCAGTCCCACATAGCAGATTTCTTCCACAGATTCATGTACATCTAGCTTGACCTATTGACAATCTTTCCAATTCCATATGTTTGGTTCAACCCATGGGTGTCTGTGAGATGTGGTTGAAATCTGCAAGGTGGCTGGCATGGCATTGCAATCAAAGGCCTACCCCCTTTGTACAGGCTTGCAGACTTTGATTCTCCTACCCACTGCCTGCACCCAACTGCAAATATAACCCTACTGCTATACAAGGTCTTATGCCAATGTATAGGGTGTGTATGCAGGATCACCAATTAATGTATTCTTTGTTTAAAACATTTAGATACATGAAGACAGGCATTCTCAAACCTGTGTAGCCGCCCCCGTGAACAAAACTAATGATTTCACTGAAGTTAGAATTCGCCAACAAATAAATATACCACTTAATTTTAATAATTGATTTTTAATCTATATATGTAATCACAGGGGTTCTGAATCTTTGCAGTACCACAACTGCCGACTGAGAGGCAGAACAAGGAGCAAAACCTACAGCAGGTTTTGACAGTTGTTCTCATTTTGTCTGCACGAGCCTCATCGGGCTTCAAAAAAAAATTGACATCCCTCCAATGTTTCTACAGTTTCTGACCTGTAACTTGAGAATTCCTATATAAAGGCACAATTCTTAATACAGAGCCAGTGTGATGCAGTGGCTAGGGTATAGACTGAGGGATGCCGTGTGTGTGTGTGTATAAAATCCTCTCTCACCTCTATGGGGTGGTCCATATCTTCCTCAATCTGGGATCCTCTACCAGAGGCCTGGGAGTTTGAGGGTTCTGCGCAGTATCTTAGCTGCTC